ACCGCCGTTGCGTTGCGGTCCGAGGGGTCCTTCTGCCGGTGCACCGCGCTTCCGGGCAACGCCTCCTCGAGGCCCCGAAACTCGTTGCCCAGATCCGTGGTGACGACGTCGAAGTTGCCCTCCTCCTGGACTAGCGAGGGGATGATCTCCGCAGCCGCCCGCGTCACCGTTTCGGCCCGCTTGTCGGGCAGGGCCTTCGTCGCAATTTTTTTTCCGGGTGAAGACGTCTTGGACCACCAACCCGTACTTGTTGCGCCCTCTGGTGTTCTGAGAGAAATCCACCAGGTCCGCTTGCAGTCGGTCGTTGGGCCCCTCCGCCGCCGACTTGCCCAGGCTCCGGGGCTTGGGCGCCAGGATCTGCCGAGCCACGTCGCCGCGCAGCGCCGCCGCGGCCCGCGCACTCGTCAAGTCCCGTCTGTCCGGGAACTCTCGCCGGGCGATCTGGAAGAGCTTGCGGGGATCCCGCACGTGGAAGCAGCCCGATGGCCTCCTGCTCCGCCAGCCGCATTCGGCCCGCGCTCGGCCTACACTCGGCCTACACTCGGCCCGCGTTCGAGCTTCTCCATGCGCGCCTGCAGGTCCTTGCAGACGCCCCAGAGCACCACCGCCAGGCGCTGGTAGTTCAGCGTCATGAACCCCTGTCCGTCGCGTGCGTGAACAGGGGCCCCAGCTTCGCGGCGGCCTGCACCTCCTGGGCGATGAAGCCGATCTGGTCCTTCTGCTCGCTGTCCGAGCGGTCGTAGATCTTGGGCTCCAGGTTGTCGAAGATCTCGACCATGTCCCGGTGCTTGATGGCTCGGACGTTGGTCTTCACGCGTGCGTCCGACGCCNNGCCGGCGACCATCCAGTCGGGGAGGCTCTGGTTGCTCTGCGGGTAGATGAGCACGTTGGCGGTTCCTGTGGTGTTGTTCAGGGAGATGATCTGGTTCTGGGCGTTGAGCTGCATCCCGCCGTTGGCGAGCGCCACCAGCTCGCCCTTGCCCCCCGCGGGCGCGTTGTTCTGCGTGGCGAGGAAGAGCCGCGCCAGTTGCGTGGGCGCCTGGTTGATGACGGCCAGCTCGCAGAAGCTGC